CTCCTTTCCAGGCTGACCTCAGCCCTGGACCTGATCTACAGTAGTAGCTCCTTTGATGGGGGAGTTGACGTAGGCACCAAGTGCCCCTGTGGAGAGCCTGGCAGTGGACCCTTGGTGAGTGGCTGACAGGCATTTCTTGCCACCCCTAGAAAGCCCTGTTCGTGCAGTTCGCTGAGGTGTTCCCGTTGAAGGTGTTCGGCTACCAGCCAGATCCCGTGAGCTACCAAGTGGCTGTAGGCTGGCTGGAACTGCTGGCTGGGTTGCTGCTGGCCCTGGGCCCACCGCTGCTGCAAGAGATTAGTAACTTTCTTTTGATCGTGCTCATGATGGGTAAGGGGGGTCCACCTGAGCAGGGGAAAGGAGGACTTCTTGGGGCGGGTGATGGGGAGACCTGGCTGTTCCTCCGTTCCCCTTTACTGTTGCCACCCTCTTTTTCTCTGGAACCAGGAACACTTCCTGCTGTGCTGCAGTGTCCATGGTGTTCAGACTAGGACAGGTGCTTTTCAAACTTAATATATTGTAACACTATTTTATGTCAACTGTACCTTCTACCTCATCAATTCTATTGTTTGCCTGGTATTTCATAAGGATGTGTTATAATGTAACCCAAAAGCCTCTACTGCTCTCCCCATCCCACCCCTGAGATGAGTGGATAGAGTAGCAGCTGCCACTTGACCTATGTGTCTGGCAATTGGGAACGAAGAAGCTAAGCCCCCTGAATAGAAAGGCAGAGAATTTCCCTGGGGCAAGAAGTCCTGGAGGGCACCCCTCATAGCAGCAGCTCTGCCCACAGGACTGCTGATGTACAAGGACAACTGCTGCTTCAAAGGCCAGACGTCTTCAGGCTCTTCTGTACCCGCTGGCCTTGTATCGCCATTGCTGCCACCACTACCACCCTTCCCCCAGGCTTTCTTTCTGTATCTGGAGCTTCCCTCATTTTCAGATCTTTCCTTCACTTCCACCACCAACCCTCTGGGCCTTTTTCCCTCCAACAGGATTAAGAAAAGAATAGGTACAGGGAGGATTTGTTTCAAAATGCCTATCTAGCCACCTCCCTGCCCTATTTGTCTGGATTGTCCCTGTTTCTTTCTTGCTCTCTGAGAGGGGTTACATTAGTTCAAAAAGCTTCTGATTCCTGGTCCTGTTTTCTCTGGGAGGCCAGGGAGACAAGTGCACCTGGTTTTGGGTATGTAGGAGGGGGTACTTAATGGAAGGACTTGAACTGGAGTGGGTCAGCCTAGGCTGGAGAGCCCTGAGCTCTCCTGGGTGTCCCCAGGGAGCCTCAGAGACCTGACTTTCCATTCCAGGGTCCATCTTCACTTTGGTGTCTCTGAAAGAGTCACTGGACACCTGCATCCCGGCTGTCGTCTGCCTGATGCTCCTGGTGCTGCTGGATATCTGCCAGTTCTTAGTCAAAACTGAGAAGGTGGTCAGACCCACTAGGAAGAAGATTCCAAGTACAGTCAAGGGATCCTGAGAGTAGCATGCCTCTTGCCTCTCTGTGCCATGTCACTGTCACAGCAGGAACACGGAGGGACACAGAATCTATCACCTTGTTACCAATACAGTGCATCCAGGGTCAAAACACGGCCAGTGTTGAAATAGACATCTTGTCTACCTGGCCCTGCTTTCTCCTTTAGATATCTGTTCTTTTTTGACTTTTACTAGCATTCCTCGTGTCACATGAAAATAGAAAATAAGCAGAAAAGACATTTAAATCTCCCCAAATTTTAATGCCCCCAAAATAACTATTTTCAGTTCCTTTGTGTAACTGTACCTTTCAACTTTTTCGTATGCCTTTATACAGATTTTTAAAAATGAACATGAGACCATATGTGCTATTTCACTACCTGCTTTTTAAAGCTGATATACTGTAACAGCATTCCATGTCTGTTTTACCTTGTTGGTGTTAATGGCTGTGTAGTGCTCCATTGTAAGGATGTATTGTAATGTTTTTACTCAGGCCCCCACTGAGGAACATTTGGATTGTTCCAAATTTTTTGCTATTGTAAACCTCACAGTAAATCACCTTCGCATACTTATTTTCTTTCCCTAGAAGTGAAGGTGCTGGTTCAAAAGGCATGCATGTTTTTAAGGTTTTTATTGCTTACACATTGAGTGTGGCCGAGTACAGTGCCTGCTTCTGCCTGCTCCCTTTTGAGCCACATGGAGTATTCCCTCCTATTTCTTGGGCACTTTAGATTTGCAAAGCTAATACAGATGGGCATTGAGTTATTATTTTACAGGACCTGAACTGCCAGCCTCTGGTGGTGAGGTGGGGCACTCAGTGCAGTGCTGCTCAGACACCTATGTGGAGGCAGGGGACAGTCAACTCCAAGGGATGCTGCCTGTTAAAGCAGTGCCGGAAGCCTGGGATGAATCCCAGAGGCCCCAGGGATGCAGAAAGATGTGTGTGTGTGTGTGGCAATTCTCAAGGAAAAGTGACCACGTTGGCGAGCGTGGTTCAGTTGGTTGAGTGTTGCCCCATGCACCAGGAGGTCGCTGGTTTGATTCCCGGTCAGGGCACAGGCCCAGGTTTCGGGCTCACTCCCCAGTAGAGGGTGTGCAGGAGGCCGCCAATCGATGTTTCTCTCTCATCGATGTTTCTATTTGTCTCCCTCTGCCTTCCTCTCCCCAAAATCAGTAAAAACATATATTTTTTAAAAAGTAACCATGTTAGGGTACCTTCTGTCACATTACCAACCATCTTCACCATACACACACATACAAAAATATAAATATCTACTGTATTAGTACATATATATGTAGTAGTATACACACACTACATATATAGAGTATCAAAACAATAAGGAAGCTTTCACTCACATAAGAGGTCCAGAAATAACATAGCTTCAGTTTCAGTGTTGGGTAGTTTGGCTGCCTTATGATGACATTAAAGATTGACGTTTTTTCCAACTCTTTGCTCTGCTGTTTTCAATCTATTGGCTTCTGTCCTCAGAGTTGCAGAATAGTTGCAGCAGCTCCAGAGTGCACATTTGCACATAACATCCAAAGGTGGAAAGAAAGAGGAAAGCTCTCTTAGCAGACCCCTAGATTTCCCCTCACATCCCACTGGTCAGAACTATGTCACGTTTTCATTCCTGGGCCAAATTACTAGCAAGGAGAACGGACTTCCCACGATGAACTTAAATTAGTTAAGATTTACCAGAGTGGTCAGCAAGGGAGGGGGTAGAAAATGGTTTCTGCCACTTACTAGCTTATTTGCAGAATATGTTTAATAATGGTAAATACTTCATAGAGTTGCTGTGGGGATTTGGTGGGTTAAAGTGCTTACAGTAGTGCCTAGCACATAATAAGTGTTCAGTAAATGCTATTATGAAATCCTGTTTTTTTCTACAGATGAGGAAATGGATTCAGAAAGCTTAAGTGCCAATGTGTCAGATCTGAAACTAGAGTTAAAGCCTGATTGACTCCAGAACACACAATTTCCACTGCACCAGCTGCCAAAGTTGGAAGTGGGCAGGCATGGCACCCCTGCCCTCTTCAACTGGAGGGTACGCAGGGTGATCTGTCCAATGTGATTAGGTCTGCCTTGCTTTCTAGAATTGTCCCTCTGCATGCAAAATTTAAGCCCATGAAAGTAGGGCCTGGAGCCCCTAGAATCCTGGCCTCTTACTGTCTCCACCCTTCAGGATGCCACAGCCAGGCTGTCTCCGGCCAGGACTTTGAGTGTAACCTCTCAGCTGGCATAGGCTTGAGGGTTCCTGTTTACCAAAGCTTGACCTGTAAGCTGATTAGTTGCTACAGGGCCCGCTCAGCAGCTGAAGAGAAGGCAGGGTTCTAGAGGAATGGGTTGGGCATCTGGTGTGGAGGAGCAGTTGAGATTCACAGCAGCAGGAGTATCTTGAGCTACAGAAATGGCTCTTCAGCCCAAGGAAAAGCCAGGTTCTGGGAAATGCGCCCCCCAAACAGCTGAAACCTAGGCCAGGTAAGCACATGACATTCAGCTGCCAGGGCCTCCTTATACTTTTCTACCTCCCTCCCTGTGCCCTCTTGACCTGCAATGACACTCCCCTTGGAGCCCTGGTTGTACCCTACAAACCCAGCTCACAGCTGCCACAGGTAGGCCCCAGCTCCTCCAGCTGTTGGGCCCAATCTTCATGCCATGTCCTGGGATTACTCAGTTGATCGGAGGGTCTGGGATGTGCGGGTGAAAGTGGATTCTGTTCTGCCTCAGTTCCTTAAAGCCAGGTCCCCAAGGCCCCAGAGAGAGGTAAGAGAGGACTGATCTAGTAGGATGGCAAAGGGGGAGGTTCAGGGTGGGCATTTGGGGACTAGAGCCATGGTAGGCAGAGCTGAGAGGGAAGGCAAGAAAGGAATGCACTCGCTCAGGGTCCCACAAAGGACTGGAGCCTGAGAGGTTCAAAGGCAAAAGCATACATTTTGGTATTAGAGGAACAGAGTTTTGGGACACCGTAGGAGTTCATCTGTGTCCAAAATAGGAACAGAACATTGGCTTGTGCACTTACCCACCTTGGGGAGGGAAGAGGAATGCGCCTAGGTATCTGTGTTGTTTTGTTTGCTTGGGGTGCTGTGTCTAACTGTGTGCCTGTGTGGGTGTACAGTTATCTGTGTGCTGCCTAGAGGGAAGGCAGCTAATGGTTATGAAGTATCTCCCCGGTGTCAGCCACAGCACTCAGAGTTTTACTTATGTTTTCTCATAATCCTCCCAACAACACTGTGAGGTAGGTATTTTAATCTCCATTTTACAGCAGAGAAGACAGGCTCCGTGAAGCTGAGTAATTTGCCCAGGGTCACATGGCAAATAAATGTGCATCTCTAGAATCTGCTTGATTCCAGGGCCTGTGCTTTTTGCTTTGCTGTCCAGTGTTTTGAGTCAGATCCAGGACTAATTTGTGGTCAAAAGGCAGTGGGGTAGGGAACAGGCTGGAAGGCCTGAGAGTTGTGAAATCTTTTCAGCTCTGGCCAAGGTACCCCAGGCAAGCCCCAGGAGAGGACCTTCACCAAGGCAAGTCTGAGGTCACTATACCGAGGCCTGTCCCCTGGGTCAGTGCATCCCAAGACCAGTCCTCTATCCGTGCCCTGCTGGCTCCCGCTCTGATCTGGATGGCCTGGGCTCTTTCTGGGAAGAGTTCTCTCGATTCCTGCTTGTTTCATTGCAACTTCCAGGTGGCTCAGCTTTACCCAGACTGACTGCACATGCCTGTGCCCCCACAGATCTGAACCGTGCTCCCTGTGTGAGGGGCACCTCCACCCTCCCAGTCACCAGGTTGGAAATTTCCAAGCTATCTGGGACATCTGCCTCTTTATTTCCCACAGCTTGTCAACAAGCCCACTCAACTTCAAATAACTCTGGAGTCCATCCCCTCCTCTCCATCCCCGCTGGGCGGAGGCTGAGCTCATCCTCACCCCCTCTCACGTGGATTTTCCTGCTTCTAGTGTCTCCTCCCGGCAAGGACCGAGGAAGAGGGGATCAGGGTTGGAGGGAGTGATAAGCCTCTGCAGTGACCTCTCTTCCTTTCCCTAGCCCAAGATCTGAGCTGAGTAGCAGTGTTGGGGACCTGGGTGTTGGCAGCTGCAGCGTCCCTGGGATGACCCTGCTCCCTTCATCGTGGTCTGCAACGGGGTGCTGGGGCTTCTGTTCATCTTTGCCCTCTGCCTGGCGCCCTACCACCTGCTGCTGGTGCGTTGGGTGGCTGGGCAGGAGGGCGTCATGGGTGGCAGCAGCCGCCTTCACTCCTGACGTCACACACACCCTCAGCCTGGTGCTGCTGAGGCCCAACAGCTGCCTGGACCTGCTGATCTGCTTCTCTGAGCACCACTTCCTCTAGGACTGCTGGGCACTGAGCTGCTGCCTGGGGTGAGGGGAGCGAGGGGGGGGGTAGGCGGCCTCCTTGGCCACCTCCTAGAGAGACCTTGGCCTGCTTCACCCCAGCCACCGTCCCAGTGGCACATTTGGCTGGAGAAAGCTCTTTGGAAGGACCTAGATAGATTCCAGTTCGGATGCAACCACATATACTAGCCCCGTAGCTGTGGAGTATGGGGATAGAGCATTCTTTGGAACACGAGTGTTCCCTAGATTTTGCCAGCTTTTGGATACCAGAAAAAACAACAACATTAAAAAAATATCTTAGGGTAAAACCCAAGTCCTTAAAATGGCCTGTAAGGTTCTGCCTGATCTGGCTCCTGCCTCCCACCCGGCCTCAACCTCTTCCACTCCTGCCCCCTTCATGGGTTTGGTCACCTGTCAGCCCCTGGAACAGGCCCGATTCCTGACCTCCAGGGTCTTCGCACCTGACTGCCAGGAATGGTGTCCCGTGCTCTCCTTCACTGAGCTAATGCTCTTTGTTAGATTCCATTGCTCTTCCTGCTATTGGCCGGGACTGGGATCCACCAGACCTGCCGCCTTTTGCTTTGGCTGAGCTGGGACTCTGTCACTGGGTGCAAAACCCTGCCAATGGCTCTGGCCACCAGTGCTTTCCCTGTTAATGTGTTGGTGACTCAGGAATTGGCTTCAAGTGGGGAAGGGAACCACTCCTCTCCTCAGCCATGTTACTGGGGGCCCCACAGCAAGACTGCTTGGGTCTCAAGGAGTCAGAGCTTAATGAATGAGAGCAGCACCTTCACGTTGCCAAGTTGACTGGAAGGGTCCACCAATCAGCTACCATGTCTCACTGACTTCCAGGTCCCATTGCTGAATTTGCCTGCCGATGATAAACTTGATAGATTCCCTCTTTTCTTTTTGATAAATTACCTTTCATTGGTCTCTTATTCCTTCTTTATTTTTTTCCTTTACATTTTAAAAGTAATGCACGTTCATGAAAATAAATTCAAAGCAGTAGGAAAAAAATGTAAAATAGAAAATGAAAATTCCCAGCAGTAGCCACTCTTCACAGTTTA